CACATCAAAAAACTTCGGAGGTTATAAAACTAACCCAGATTGAAAACATTACATTCACAGAACTTTTTGAATTTTCCTAGTTTTTCAGCTATCTGCCGATTTCTGAAGGACATCCCTATTTTTCCTGTTTTGTACTGAAAACTAAAAAAAAATCAGGTGTCCTTCAGAAATCAGGAAATAACTGAAAAACTAGAAAATTTCAAAAAATTTTGTCAATGCAATGATTCCAATCTAGGTCTGTTTTATAACCTCCGAAATTTTCAAACTGATCCGACATTTGACAGCCGAGCTCCAGACTCCTGAAAATAGCCAAATTCTACTGAACAAGATGTTTTTGTAGATCTCATTGACCGGTACTGTACATGCACTTTGAGTTCAATTATCTCGGTTCCTTCAAGAGATAGCAAATTTGTTATAGTGATCAAATGTTTTTAGTAACATCAGTAAAATTTCATCAGTTGACCACTTTCTGATATCTTTTGAAGGAACCGAGATAATTGAGCTCAAAGAGCACATGAAGGTTGGGCTGCTGTCAGAGCTTTTTTAAAAGCCATTAGGCTTCACAAGAAAAAAACTGTTTGAAACTATTTCCCGCATTCATACAATTTTACTATTTTTGATCACATAAAAACTCACTCATAAAACAAGCATTCCCTCGACACGTCGATGCTCCACTCGTACAAACTTTCCCTTCTTTCGCTGATGCCGATCGCCATAACTGCACACATTGAACACATTCAACCTAAAAATTATTTTGATTCTTTATTTTCTTCATGTTAACGTTCTCACCAATGCTTCTGTATTTTCAAGCTCAAACTCTTCACACGTCACTCGTAATATTGAGAACAATATGAACATGTACACCACGGTGAAGCCTGAAACTTCGATTGCCAAAATTAGACTTTGAAATCGACTTACCATTCTTCCGGCTCATGAGAGCACATTGAAATCTGTGGCTAGTGGAATGAAGTCGTGAAGAAGATGAAGAACGATCTGGAAAAAAGTGTAAAAAGATAGGAAAATGTGAGAAAAGAAAACAGGAAAAGGTGATGATGAGAATGTGCTGACGAAGGTAATTATGGGGACATCTGTATAGAAAGAGCTTCTAGAATAACGGAAGAAAAAGGGCGGAGCTATCCGAGAAGGATGATGACGTGGCAAACAGAGGATTTGTGATCTCATTTTGTTCTTCGAACATGAAATTTAATGAGGTACTTGTTCATAAAAACACACTAGTAGACAACGATGTGGGGAGGGTTAAAAATGTGTTGGGAGGATATCTTTTCAAGAAAAAAACACAAGTAGCACGGAGCGGGAAAGGAGCAATAAATATTGCGTCGTCTTTCGCTTCCTGACTACTAAAATTGAGTTCGGAACTATATTATCGAGAAAAAAGAAAAACAAACAAGGCCAAAGCTCCGGATGGGACTCTGAAGAAAAGAGCACGGGACGAGCGAGCACTCCTAATTAAAAATGCTCTCCTGGTTTGGTATTGGACTAAAAGGGAAGAGAAGAAGACTGCGAGAAAGAAGAAGTAGAAGGTCGTGGGTGAAATCTGAGAGATTTTCGGAAGTTTCGAGTGTGTCGAGAAGGAGAGAATTGGAGACATGTACTTTTTGGTGTCCAACAGGATATCATATTGCGAAAAATCTCATTGTGAAATACAAAGTTGGAAGAAGAGGAGGGCAGAAAAAAAACAGAAATTAGCAAGCTGATGAGTGAACTCACAAATAGAAGAGAAGACGTTCAGAATTTAAAATTCACAATGATGAAAAGAAGTAAAGTGGCAGACTGAAGTTTTTTTCCTATTTTTTCTTAAACCGTAGAATTATATATGCTGGCTGAAAGAAGGTAGTTTTTAAAAAATGAATAGACGGCTACAGCTTGAATAGATAATTTTCTATTGAATAGTAAGAAAATTAAAAGAAAACTGACTCTAACTGTACACAATGATCGAGGATGCAAAAATTCGAAACGTATCAAAAATATCATTTTAGAGAACGATTTTATAATCAGACCCAGCTGTTATCTATGATCAGAAGTTTTTACATAGTTCGGATAATTAAATTGTGGGTTTATTGATTTATTGAAAACTTCCACAAAGTTAAAAACACTTATTAAATTAGCAGAATTTTGAATATATTATACAACTTTGAATAAAGTGTAGCAAATTTTGAGATATTTTAGATTCAGAATCAGTCTTATGATAAATACCGTACGCACTCTAATAGAACGCTACCCAACCCGCCAAGTTTGAGCCCTTATATTTCAGTTCCTGTGAAAGATATCTAAAAGTGATCAACTGACAAAATCTTACTCTTAATATCAGCAACATTTTATCAATCAACCACTTTTTGATATCTTTAACAGGAATCAGGACATGTTGGCTCAAAATTGACATCTAGCCTGGCGTTCTATTAGAGTGTTTACGGTATTCATGGTAATTTCAAACCATGGAAACTTTATTGTATTATAAATACTGTATTGCCTATAATAGAAGCCCACCCAAACAGTCACCTTGGAATTAAATTATCTCGATTTCTGTGAAGGATATTATCGAGATGATTGAGCTCAAAGTAGACTGTTTGGGTGGGCTTCTATTAGAGAAAGTACTGGTATCACTTTTTATGCATTGAAATAATCAAATTTGTTTAAGATTTTTTTAATAGAGAAAGTCATATGAGCAGATCGAAAAGACAAATAGCGAAAAAGTCTAAAAATTGGATATAGGTTAGAACAACAAATATTTGTTTATTTCAATGATCGTCAACTTTGGAAGCATTGTTTGGACAACTGAACAGACTTAATAAATTTGGGAATGTTTCATTTTCAAGCAGAGTATCTCTTTGATATTTCGGAGGGTGCAAAACAGTCCTCGATTGAAAAATTGACATTCACAGAGTTTTTTTGAAAATTCCAAGTTTTTAAGATATTTGCTGTTTTCTGAAAGACACCTGTTTGTCACGTTTTCAGTACAAAAACGGGCCAAAAATATTATTGTCCGGTGCTGTAGATCTCATCCAGCAGAACACACAAAAATTACCGAATTTCACAATAAAAAACCGAAGACTGAAACTCTTTACCCGTCAAAGTGTTTCCGGTGAAGCCCTCGTCAGCGGCTTTCAAAAATCGACTATTATCCTGTGATCTAAAACATTTTCTTGTCTTGAATTCAACTAATTACTAACTCGGTTTTTCCTCCATCTCCCATTTAATACAAATGTATGTCCCTGTTATATCTCCTAGTTTCATAGACATTTCACGTGTTAGTGGTTTTCTCCCCTTCGTTGAAATAAATAAATAAATAAATAAATAAATAAATAACAATTGAACAAATCTTCCAAAACTACAAATAAGGTTATATACCCGATTTGTGAATATCTTTACAACTCTTCGTTTTCCTCTTCCTATTTCCCATCTTTTTATCTCGAAAACAGACGAAAAATCCCCGCCCTTCGGACCCCTATTATAATCGAAACGAGTCGTCTTTTTCGTTGTCGTCGCCATCTAACGGATGGGGACGTCTTCGCGTATTTTTGATTGAGTTTTGTGGTGCATATGTGCTCATCTGCAACAACATGAGCCAGTTGGCGACGGGTGGAGGGACAGAAACATATATAACACCCTCAGTTTTTGTCTCTCTTTCAATACAATCTCATCAAATTGAAAAAAAGAAATGCCAATGAAAATGAAAATAAGAAGAGCAAGTTTTGGTGGTGGGAGGCGGAGGAGAAGAAGGCACTGAGAATCAAGAGAATCGGAGAGAAAATGGCACAAAAATTTCTAATTAAAAAAGTTTGGAAAAGGATGGAAGCCCGAAAAAGGGGTGTACTTTTGACATCAGTTGGTGCACACTTCTATTGTCGGTCCAAAATTTTGTTGAAATTTTCTATTTTCCAAGAATGGAGACCGTGATGGACCAGAGATATAGACCTCAATTTGGATAATAATAGTAGTGGAGCCAGAACCAAAAAATAGGGAGCAGCAGAAAAAGAACAGAGACATGTCAATGTGACATGGACCAAGATCTTGAGAAATGTATCAATTAGAACATGAGACATGAATGATGGACAGGTGGGGTTGAGAGACTCCAGGAGTAGGAATACGAGAGCAGATGACCTTTTGAGCCCGGAAAAGTAGGATTTTATGGGGGCTCTTCACTTCTCCATTCGATTAGAGAAGAATAGAAGAAGAAGAGCTCAAATAAATAAGGGGAAAGAATCGCGAAATCCCCGGGAGAACACTCCCAAAGAAACCCATAAAAAGTGACTCCTTCTCTGATTCGATTGGCATTAAAAGAAGATTGAGATTTGAGATACGGAGGTAGAAAACTGACAGGGAGAGTAAGTTCGCTTTTTTCTTCCCTATTTATTCTTTGAAAAGGAAAGAAGTCTGACACACAACATTTTTCGTCTTCTCTATTTTGGCCCACTTGTGAAATGTGAGAGAAGTCTTCAGTGAAAAACGAAGGGAGATTGCGGTATGGGGGGAGCCACACACACACAAATAGAAAGAAAGTAACACATCTTAGACTATTTTCAGCTATTTTTTCTCACCTCTGAAGAGACTGGTAATTGGTTATGACTACACTTTCTCTGAAACTTCTCTAAACAACAAACTTTCTCTTAAAAATTATAGGCATACTTGTCCAAAAAATTGTTCAAAAAGTCAGCAAGAGATATTTCGTTCTTACAAAAGTACCGAAATTTTGCATTTTTTTCGAAAATTTCCTAAAAACTTCAAAAAATTTTTTAAAAAATCAGGATTTTGAAATTTAGGAATTTGACCTGGGCCGAAAGGGTCCGGCTCGTGACAAGTATGTTTATAGGAGGTGGCCTTATAATTCACCACATAATTTTACACAACTTACACTTTTGTATTTTATAAAAGTACAGTAGGACTCCAAACTCAAATGTGTTAATTCATGGAGAATTTATTTTTAACACGAATTCGGGCACTTACAAGCTCGGAAACGAATCAAAAAGAAGATCGAAGAATCAAATTTCTCAACATCATTGGATTGGGCTCATTCTTACTTTGAAATGTGACACTGCAACAAGGACATGTAGGGAACAAGTCTTCTACTGAATGTGACTTCTGGTATCGAACTAGATTGAGTGAAGGCACCGTAAAACTTGTAATATAAGGGCCCCCACTCTGTCAAGTCCGGGACTCAATTATCTCAGTTTCTATGCAAGGTATCAAAAATGAGTCACTGACTAAAAACTTCTGATATATTATTATAAACAATTTATCAGTCGACAACTTTTCGATATCTTTGACAGGAACCGAGAAAAAGTTGCTCAAGTTTTAAAGTTAGGAAGCTCTTCTGTTAAAGGCCGATAGCATACTTAAAAGCAAGTACGATAGCTGTACGCAGAATGAACACTGTAAGCATTGTACACCGTCAGGCCAGAATGCATACCGTAACTTCAAAAAAAAACTCCGTAAAATCTCCTGCCCTCCTCCTTTAAAGGTGGGGGGGGGCATGAAAAAAATAAATTTCTCGAAATTCCGTTTTTATACCCCCCCCTCGTGGAGTTGAACTTGTGGGGGTGAGGATTGAGGGTGTGGCGCCGCTACCGACTGAGCTACGAGGGAAAAAAAGCGGCCACCAGATTGCATACATAAAGGCGCGGACGACAGCTGTACGCAGAGTGACATTAAGCGTTGTACACCGTCACGGTAGAATACATACTCTGGCCCCGAAAATCCCCCGTAAAATCTCCTGTCCCCCCACCTTTAAGACATTATGAAGTTCATACCATTTACAGTAGAGAAATTTTGAAACCGAAAGATTTTAGGAATCAAGGAACTATTACACAGATATTTGGAGCGTACCAGTGGACTGATTCTTGACAGACGGGCATGAAAAATGAGAGCGGTCTCTCGTATGGCTCCTCCCCAAAAAGAAGTACTTAATTGATTCCACTTTCTCGTGCCGAACGATGCCCACACAGAGAAGGGAGCCAAGTGGTTTCGTGCGTAAACGACATCTTTCCGAAATTCCGGAAATTCCCCAGTGACCATCTCCTCTCTCATCCCCTCCCTTGAAAATCGCAAATCAGTTTGTCACAAACCAACTAAATCTTATGTTGCCGCCTTTTTCAAGAAACAGGGAATCTATCAAATGGTAGTGGTGGTTGCCAGAAGAAGAGGAGATATGGAATGAGGGTGTTGTTTTAGAAAACAGATGGAAAGGAGGAAAGAGAGTGAGCAGATGTGTATATCGTTTAAGAAATGTATGAGTGGGTAAGAGAAAAGAAGTTTTAGAGGCAGGATAGATATATTAGAAGGCACGATTATGAATAAATGATCAAGTGCGAAACGGCGCTGTCGACACGTCCAGCGACACATACTCGAGCAGACGGACGGAACATTCGAGAAGGAAACGAAGGGCGAAAAAAGTTTATTCGGAATTTGAGTATCTGGTAATTACGAGATAATTGGATACCCTTTTTGCAACTTTCAATTAAGCATCAACATCGAAAAAGGGTCCGAAAGTACATTTTGAGATGTTGGGAAATCTCAAAGTTTGCATGATAACTACCTTCGTTTCATGCGAAAACTTTAGACATTTAAGGAAAAGTTCAGCTAACAACTACATATACTGGTAAAGTACTTTATGGGATTAAGAGTTCAGAAACATAGAATGTGCCCAACTGTTTTTATTCATCTCATCGGTTAGAATGAAATCAGGATTGATGCCGCTGTTCGTAATGGGCATAGTCGGAAGAGAATCGCACTAATTCAAAATAAAAACAGAAATTTTGAAAACTGGTGATTGTTCATTGCAAAAAATGGCTAATAACCAGTTTGTTATGAGAGTTAATCGATATTTTTCATGTAAAATTTGAGAAAATTGGCATCTTGCAGAATCGGCAATACCTATCCCAGAAAAAGTAATTGGGATGATTCAGGAAAAGCAAAAATATCCCGATAGATATATTCTGGAATAAACTGACGAAAAGGTAACATTTGATCCGCAATGATCTTGGATGTATAGGTTCTGTGTCTGCTCGTGATTTACTTACTAGGGAAGGTTGTAACTGGAGGGTGGGACTTTGATATGAGATTAATTTTAATCGAAAACTGAGATCACGACGTTTTCAAACGAACCGTAAAACCTGTATTAGGAGGACCTCTTTAATAGAAGGGCCCCTCTAATAGAAGCCCCCCCCCCCCCCACGAGGAGCTAAAGAAAATAGAAGAATCGGCACTTCTAATACATGTTTTACTGTATATTTTGTTTTTTCTGAAGAGCTACCAGATTTGAGAATATCAGCACTCACCGACGCTCAAAATACTCAATTTCGAGCCAAACTGATTTTCTCAAATCTGGTAGCTCTTTAACAAAAACAAAATACAGATTTGAAAATGCTGTGATCTCAGCTTTGGAATGATACAGGTTCCATATGAAAATTCCACACCCCAGTAACAATATTCTCTAGTTAGATGTATGCCATAGTTCCGGTAGAAGTTCGGTTGATTGTTGGAGAAATGACCTCTGTGGTTTTCCTAAATTTGTCCAAAACTTTGGACTTATTTTTTCAGCCTTTCAAATGATTTGATGTTAAAAATGGACTAAAAAGTGGAGAAGACACCTGTAAAAACCCTAGTCTCAATTATTATCAGACTCTCAAGAAGGAAACTGGTGCTGCTCAATTTTCTGCATAATATTAGGTAAAAATTATTCCATACTTCACAAAAATTATTGACCATTTGCTGATACCACAGTAGTCCATTTTCTAATACAATGAAATTTAACAGGATAGAAGTTTTCAAATTGTTACAAAGTTCATTTCTATTCTTCTTTCTTGCTTCAACTCCAGAAGTTCAAAGCCTAATTCCCTTAGCTGCCAACCGGTTCCAAAAACGTTCCGTTTGTTTCCAGATCCATCAAGTTTCAGAGTTGAGCTGACACCCAATTCCCAAAGACGGGAATAAGTTGTTTGCCCAAAAAAAAAAACGGAGCATCTTTCGCTTGTCTCCTCCATTTCCTTCGCTCTTTCGATGCCTTTCTCAGCCAATTCCCGAATGTAAGACAATAATGCAGATAAGCCGAAACGTCGTCGTAAAACTGCATAATTCATGGGTTCTGTTGCTCTTTTTTTGAGCAACGCAAAGGTTTCTCACAACCGTTGTTTTAGAAAAAAGAGATCGCATGACGTTTCAAAAAACTGTTTTCTATTGTTTCTATGAAGCAGTACCATCATAGTTTCACAAAAAGTAAGTTCCCGAGCAAAAATTCATGAAAAATTTCTTTTTTTTTGGTTTCCAGTACTCCATTAAGTGTGTCGTTCTATTGCTCCTAGTCCAATCCTTCTCTGAGACCTCATATCATGTGTCATATCAGCATTTTTAGCAGAAGTCAGAAGAGGTTAAGAACAAGTTTGAAAGTGCAGAAACCGTGAATAAATCATTATGGGAAATCTTGTGTTTTTGTGAAGTTAGGTTGCCTAAAGATGAGCTTCTTTTCAAGTTTTACTTTTCCTATTTTTCACTTTTTACCTCAAATCACCTTGGACATTCCAAAGAATTCAGAACACCGTCTATAAATCGTTTTGTTGACTGAAAACATAAAAACGGAAGACCACCCGCTGGTTTTATTTTCTTTTGGATGTCTGAAAATAATACAATTTTCTGCGACTTCCGGAGTTTTATGAGATTACAAACTAAACAATCACTGACTTTTTAGTGTCTCGGTGTATTGGAACTTTCCCCAAGAATCTGATTTGTTCACTTGCTGTTTGATTTTTTCAAAATGCTTCCTAATTTATAACTTTCGAGACGGTTTCAGAAATTTCTAATAAAATGTATACCAGCTTATTAAATTAATTTCTGACCTTGATTATCTTTCCAGGCAAACGTTGCATTGACAACAAAATGATGTATACCGTAAAACCTGTATTAGAAGGGCCCTTGTTGCGGTTTGGGATTGAAGGGTAATGAGCCCACACTCCTACTTTTAAATTGACACGTAATTTGGAGAGTACAACGATTCCAAGTACAAGGGGGTACGAAGTGACTTAGGACTACAAAATTCACGATTTCGGGGTATAAAGTTTAGACTTTTTCAGTTCTTTTGTACTCTAAAATTGAGTATTTTGCACCACTAATTTGCTTTTTACCACAATGCCCCCAGGTATATCCTCCGAACTAATTGCCTTTCAACTTTGAGATAGTTTTTCTCGGTTCCTGTCCAAATTATCAAAAAGTGATCAACGGATAAAATATTTGGTCAAATAATTTATCAGTTGACCCCTTTTTCATATCTTGCAAGGGAATTGAGATAATTAAGCTCAACGTTGACGGTGAGCTTTTATTAGAGGAAATATGATAATACCAATGAACATAAAATTTTCCATTTTACCATCCGTTCTCATATTCCCAACAGTATCATCAATCATTGACTTTGTCATTTTGATCAACACATTTTTCGTTTTTTTTTCACCTAACAAACGAGTTGAATTCAAAAAATTAGCACTTCTTTTTTTTCGCCTTCTTCTTCTCCTTTTTATTTTCTTACTACCACTTCTTTCCAACTTGTCATACCCGTTTCCGTGCAGATATTTCTGTGTATATGTTATTGACTCGTAGAGTAGCAGGAGAGTCTCCCCTACCGAAAAAAAGGAAAATTGATACGGCATCCCCCTCTCTCGACTTCTTCGTTTCTCTTCCAGATATTTTGAATGGGCGGAGCATTCCGAGAAGTCTCTCCTTTGTTTCTGTTTGTTTAATGAGAACAAATCGAAGACAACGTGAGTCTGTCTTCTTCTTTCGTCTTCCACTTACTCAATCAGCTCCTCACTGCCCATTCAATTTCCTTTTTCTTTTTTCGCCCCGTTGTGTTTCTTCTCAACTTTTTTTTCGGACAATTTTGAAGACGACACATACGTCTTCTCCTTCTTCTTCTTCTTCTTATCCAACGTCCCCCAACGTCTTCATCCTGTTTCCAGAATCCCCGCGACTGAATGGATGCGTCTTCATCGAAGAACAAATAGTGCGTTTTCTTATTATTCAAAACATCTCCCTAAATATTTGCTTCAATCAAAACTCATATTCCCCATCTTTCCGAAGCTCTAATTGAGTCTCTCAGTGGATGAAGAATGTGGGCTCAATTAATAATCGAGAAGAAGAAGAGAAATATATAGATTCTCCATCCTTTTTCAATTTCACTCATTCCGCGAGATGACGATTTCAGATCCGCGACGATGTACGACTCTTCTGATTTTTGCGCTGGAAATTTTGGATTTCGTTGACTCGTTGGCGTGTTATTCATGTATTGCACTGAATTACAGGTGAGCATTTTGAACAAGCACACCGATTACCATAATTAAACACTCTAAAACAACATCACCCTTTACTCTTACATACGTCGAGCTCAGTTATCTCGGTTCCTGTGAATGATATCAAAGCTTTGTCAACTGATAAACTTTTTTATCGTAATTTCACCAACATTTAATTAGTTGGGAGATTTTTGATATCTCCTATAGCAACTGAGATAATTGAGCTCAAAGCGTAAGGATAGGGTGGCCTTCTATTGGATCGTTTACGGTAACCTTGGATAACCGAATTACAGGGTGGCGCACAATTACCCGGACTGATAAAAGCGGGCATATCTTGAGACATAAACATCTGAGAATTACGAAAATTGGTAGAAATATATAATTTTACGTTTGATTCAAAGCTACTGAAATTTTGAAAGCGGTTTATCGAGTCTAGATGTTGTTACGATTGTCCAAAGATACGGTGTAATGTTTCTTGCTCGCCATTGTGGTTTAGATGATATAAAGCAATATCGACAAGCGATAACTCAACGCAAAATTGATAAAATTATTTGAAACTTGATCAGTTTACTGATGATTTATTGGAATTTTTGTACTCCAAATTTGAGCCCAGTACTTTTGAGCCCACCTTAATCCAGTTTTATTCTAGTTCATACTTTAGTACGGGTAATTATGCGCCAACCTACACAAAACAATTCGTCAAGTGTAATCCCAAAGTTGTGAAAACTTTTTCCAACCAATTTAGAAATTTGCTACTCAATTTTCCAGACAAAACGTACTTTCTCGAAACGACGCTCTGTTTCCTCCACAAAGTCGCGAGAATCTGACGGCGTTGTTTGATGTCTTGACGGAGGTATCCCCTTTCTTCTTCTCCGTTTCCATTGTTTCTTTCAGAATAAAATCGGACACGTGGAAGTGTCTTCTAGTTGTGCAGACGTCACTCTAACAACTCAACCGTCGTTTCTGAACTCGCCTATTGCAATATGTGATCCAAATGATAAATGTGTCAAGATGGACTTTTATTATTCAGGTATCACACTTTTTTTTAATGGGTATTATTAAAGGGGGCCGGACACCAAAAAAAGTTTTTCTGATATTTTGCCTAGAGAACCCATGAGGAGTTGAACTCATGACAGGCAGCTCAGGGGTACAGCGCCGCTACCGGCTGAGCTACAGGGGCGCGAAGGCGCCTGCCGACCGATGGCCTACATAAGCGCGCAGCGATTTCGTCCCCCAAACACCCCCCCCCCCAAAGTTTTTGCTGTCTCGCCTCCTTTAAAGATAAATTTTAATTCTAGGAGAAAAAGTGGTCCTACGAAACTGTCTTTCAAATCTTATGGTTACTGTGAATACCCCGAAATTCAAGCATCTATGTCCAATGTATTCAGAAGAACGTTCTGAATTGTAAGTATCTGTTTCTTGGCTATACAGTAACCTGATTATCAATTTTCTAGAAAAGTTGGTCCAATGAGGAATGTTAGCGTTTGTTCGTGTCAAAGTGATTTGTGCAACCCTTCTGCTCACTCGTCTTCGTTTTTTTTTCTTCTATTTCTCTCAATCATGATACTTTTGGTATTTTAGGATTTTATATTTTTTGCTCCGGGTATTTTCTCATTTCTCATAAAACGTGAAACTGGAAATAAAATGTTAATACAGTCGCGTGAAAAATTAGGTTATCGTTGTTACGACGAATCAGAAGAGAGCCAGCTGAAACGATTTTTGAGGAAGGTTTTTCAGATTTCCTTCAGTAATTCCATAATTTTATCACGATGAGTTCAACAAAAATGATTTCTGATCACGAACGGAGAAATATCGACTATTTGAATAGTTCTTTTATGCCATTTTGTAAGTTTTTTTGAAACTGTGTTCTAAAATTACGTTTACAAAAAATCGGAGCTATGGAAGAGAAACACCGAAGGTCCCACAAGGACAAATACCGTAACCTAAATATATTTTTATTTTCCGGATATATTTTCTCGATTTTCGTGTGTCTTTGGTCAATTTTTTAAATTCAGACTTTTCTGGAAAAACTGGCAAAGAAAAACAGTGAAATCGAGAAAACGAATTCAAAAAATAGATATATTTTTAGGGTACTCTAGTTTTAACAGTGGGACCTTAGGCTACGGTCATTGGTGTTTCTCTTCCACAGCTCCAACCAGAATTATACGTAAAATTGTATCTTTAAAAATTATCATCAAATTGATATATGGATCATACTGTATGCTGTTCTAGGGCGTCGAACCGCATTCGTCTACAAATGTGAACTTGGATTCAGCCTTCTGATTCTGATCTGTGCCTTCGCCGAACTGATCGTTTACGATTGCTACGTCATTTTCCTTCTTCTGCTCATCGCCTCCTTTGTTTTTATTCTTCTTTTCCTCGAATTCTACTTTGGAAGTGTCTACAATTGTGCAGCTCTTCTTCATCTTCACACTCTCAGTGCTGGTTTTATGTCATTCGTCTGTTGGCTCAGTGTGCTCGTCCCAATCTTCTTCGGAGAATCCATTTATATTGCCAGTCGCTCTGTTGTGTAAGTTTTTCAAGGAAAGATGATAAAATTGGATTAAAAATTGCAGTCATGTCATCTACAAATACTACGGTTGTCTGGTCATTTTTGGATCCCTACTAGTAACATTTGCAGTCGCATCATTCACAAGACGTAAAGAGGTGAAATTTGGAACTTTTTGAAGATTCTGTCCTCACTTTCCTATTTTCAGATCAAATCCGTCGAACTGTCACATGTGGATTATCTGAAACGATTGATGAAAACTACAAGTGGAGTGGCAGCCGATGTTCAGAGAGAAGCGAGAGATTTCCATCTGAAACCTAGAGATATCCATTCTTTTTCTTGAATTTTTTTATAATGAATTGTTTATTTGTTTGCAATCAGTACTTTAATAACAATTTTGTTTTTACAAAATGTATTTCAAACTGAACAAATTGACCCGTATCAGTAACAAACAACAGCAAGAACAGAAGGCATTTTTAATCAAGTTTCCTGACTCGGCAGGATAATTGAGAGGGTTTTCTTTCAAACGTGCTTAAACTGGAAACATGAGATAATCCATAACCAGGCCGACGGATGTTCGACGATGAACGAGCATTCATCAATGAATAAGAAGACGTCGAGGTATACGAAGATCCTGCGAATGAGCTGCTCGATGTGGCAGATCGTCGAAGGCCATATCCAGAAGATGGTAGGGCTGTGGAAGACAGGGAAGACGTGGAATTCGAAGATTCGAGAGAAGAAGTAGAAGACGTCATTGCATCTGATCTTCTACTTGCAACCACGGATGCACTTCGAGCACTTCTTGCAGGTGGAGGTGGTGCGTCGGTAGCCGTTTTCCTCAGTTTATCTCTTTCCTTTGCGGCAGAGCTTAATGGTAATCGACTAGGACGGATGGCTTCTTTTGGCGCAGGACTAGGACTACGGTAGGACATTGGAGATGGTGATTGGGACCTGACAGTGATGACGGGCTGTGGACGGACTACAGCGATGGCTTTTCTTTCGGTTCTCCATGGAGATGTTGCTCGGATCGGTGTTGATGGAAGGCGGAGACTGAAAAATATGCAATGTTTCAGATTTTTTCCGTTTTTTTTTAAATCTTACCTGGATGATCTAACGAACTCTCCGAGCACTTCTTCCTCTTCTTCTGCTTGCTCTTCTTCTGCTTTTGAGTCTCTTGTTCTTATCTTTGTCCTTATACTTGGTTTCTTTATCTTTGATTCTTTTTTGTTCTCTATTTTCTTCTTACTCCACAACTCTTCTTCTTCTTTCACTCTCTGTTCATCCAAATCATCCGAACACGTTTCACATCTCGATAATTCGACAGCTGCCTGCAATTTCTTCTTTTTTCACTCCACCACCGGAAACATCATGTCTTCAAGAACTTACTTGATTGATAATAGCTCGTGTGGGTCCATTCTGTTCCGTCGATTTTAATTGTTCTTTCACCGAGTTTTCAATTTTCAAAAGGACTTCTTCGTCCTGTGCAAGTTGTAATCTTGATTTGATTTTTGAAAGAAATTTGATAGCACGAATTCTGATATTAGATACTGGATCGGAAGTTAGACGGAGGGTATCATCAAGGAAGTTTTCAATGAATATACGTTTACTGAAAACAGAAAGAACTATTTCAGCAACATCAATGTAAGTCATCCTTCGGTAGCAACAATTGTGATTGGATAGGTCTGAAAATATCTGTGATTCTGATTTTTTATACAGTGCGTACCATCATTGAAAAATTTGATAATATTTTTTCGTGTTTCTTCTTTAGAAATGCTCCTCATCAGTATCAGTAAAGTCTCGCATGCTGCTATCCGACATGGAATGGCTCGCTGGAATAGAAAATTATGAATTCTGAAATTTGCATGTTTGAAAAGAACACTTACCACATTCAAAACTTCCTTTTTCAAAAGTGGAACGAAAGTGTCAACTATAGTTTCTTCCTCTATACATCCTGACAAGGCTTTCAAGCTTTTCAAAAGTGCCTCATGGCTTCTCCAGGAGCTAGACGTCCTTAGAATCTGATTGCATCCAATCAATAATCGATCCAGCTGTTGGATTGTTGTTTTTCCTGGATTATCCTTCACATTCTCATACAGAATTGGCAGGATTTTCGATAGATTGTGAGAGATTTTGGCAATGACATCAGAAGATCCACCGTGAAGAAGTTCAATGAATGGAGGAATCAGATCGTCTTTGTCCGGAAACATGATTAGAATTTCATGGTATGAAGCGGCTATACTTATCCGAACCTCTTCATCTGAAAATTTTTCTTTTTTCTTGAAAATATCGTAAAATTACGACTAACCATGATCAGTGCAGAACATTTCTAGAAACGGGAGTAGTCTATCTACTTGTTTCTTGAACATTGTAAGCATACACGGATAGTTGTAGCAGCAAGTTTTCTTCAATACATTTCGAATATTTTTTTGAGGTCCTTCACATAATTCATCTGATATTTGAACCATCTTGCAATAAGTATTCAGGACCCAAGATTTATCCAATTGATCCAACAGCTCATTCAGTTCCCATGACCATTTTCCAAAATTGTTGGAAATCACTGGAAGCCCTTCGTTCTTTTTCTCCAACGCTTCTTCTGTCAACTTTTTGATAACAGAGAACAATGTGTGCTTTCTGGCATCTAAAATGTTTTTATTGTTATCATCAAAAATTTCAAAAATTCAATTACAATACCTCTTGTGAACAAAGAGAATGAATCTGTCAAACTATTCATTGCGGCTTCTCGAACATTCATTTCTTCGTCATTCAATAGATGAACGTAGGATTGAAGAAGGCAAGAAACGACGTCATGAGAATTCCTGAATTATGAACTCGAAGATTTTATTAGAGGTAGTTCCATACTTTAAAGAGTTCGCGACGACGAAAAGTCGTTGAGCAACTGCCACTCGCACGTTAGAATTGGCATCTTTGCACAATGTGGAAACGATTGGGCAGAGGTCTTTTCGAATTCTGAAAAAAGAATATTGAAGGTGGAACATGAAACATTTCCGAAGAATTTTGGCTAAGCCATGATATTTTGAAATACTGAAGTAGAAAATTTCAACAACATTTTCTGTTTAAGGAAATTTTGAGTTGTGAACAGTACCCAAAATTTAGGGAAATGTGTAACCCAAGTATTTTTTTGAAATCGTATTCCTGTGAAAGATACAAAAATGTTGTCAACTGATAAAATATTGGTGATATCATGATAAACAATTTATCAGTGGCCAAAGTTTCCATATCTTTTCCAGGAAATGATATAATTGAGCTCACAGTTGATGGTAGGCTTCTATTATAGGAATTATGGTAAACTCACTCATTTGGTGGTAAAAACATGGCCAGCCTATTAATAATTTTTGTGGCAATTATTCTTCTTTGTACCCTTTGAACTGGCTCTGCCTGTGTTTGGATAACGGGAATGATCTAAAAATTAGAAAAGTAGATAACCTGAGAAAGGTGAGCTCAAGATACTCACAAATTGTTTGATGGAACTCAAAGACAGTTTGTCCGCAACTTCAACAATTGTCTCCAACCATGCAGCAGCACTCACTGAAAAATTTCAGAAGTTTTTCGAATTTCAAAAACCAATAAAAAAGAAATGAAAAAAGTTACGAACACAATTGGTTAGTATTTTAGGAAACAGAAGGAAATATTAGTGGCATTACACATACAGTGATGCATTTGATTGTTGATGCAGCTGCCAGCTTTAATTATAACTTTTTCCTTTTCGTGAATATCTGGAAATGGTTAGGAATGGGATAGAGGATAGGAAGATAGGAGGGGTGGAACATATATGGAAACAAATGTGAAAGTTAAGAGTAAAAATACTTACGATGCTCTTTTTGATTTTGAATATTCTGAAGAATGTTCTCGAGAAGCAGATCAACGATTCCTCTGAAACAAGACACTCTTAAAACCTTTTTTTGAATAACAAAACTCACTGAAATTTCTTGACTAATTCCTCATTTTGAATGATAGATTTATAGACGACTGCTGCTTCACAATGCAGATCAAGATTCGATTTTTCAACTTTCAGACATTTTTGAATAGCTGGCAACATTTTGAGTAAACATTTCTCTCCGTCTGATGTATCCAAAATATCCGGAAACGTTCGGATTGCAGTTAATTTTTGTACTTCAGAACCGTCTCTGAAAAATGAGAATATGTTTTGCTACACAGAAAAAACCAACTCCAAATTGATGAGTGCTTGGTCAAGAGGTGATCGGAGAAGTTCTTTAAATCTGGATCCTCTGCCATTTTGAATAATTTTTCAAAGTCGAGTTTCATAACTGGGCGCTCTTTGGTATCTTCATCTTCGTCATCAGCATCAATTGGACCTTGGTCATGCTGGAAAAGATTTCAGATATTAACCAAAAAAAACTGAAAGTGTTACTTTGATTCTAGACTCCCCATCCATTTCGGTGGCAGCGGCGACCATTGAAATGTTAAGTGGAAGTGGGGATCTGAAAAAAAAATCAATGAAGAACTTTTGAGACAAAGAGAGCCAACTCGTGAGAGAGATAAAACGAAAGAGTAAACAGTTTGAACAGCGTCCCGCCCTTTTTTCGCATGATCCTTCTTGCATCCAGAAGATGCGCGGGGCATTTTGAAGAGTGTTGGCAAATATTGAGAAAAACTGATATGAAATGGTTTCAAATGATGGGATATCTCATAGAAACATGATGAATTGAGACCGGAAAGAATGCAGAAACAACATGATGCCTCAATAATACAAACTCTTGGAATGTGTTGGATGGATAGATAGGAGAGGCAGCTGGCTCCCGAGCGACGATGAGCAACTCTCTCTCTCTCTCTCTCTCTCTCTCTCTCTCTCTCTCTCTCTCTCTCTCTCTCTCTCTCTCTCTCTCTCTCTCTCTCTCTCTCTCTCTCTCTCTCTCTCGAAACATTGGATATGATTGGGGAGATGCAGACGCAAAATCGGTGTGTAAAGACATTTCGAGAGAGAAGGCAGTGATCGGGATCGAAGGGCACGGCTTGTGATCCAGTGTGAGAAGAGTTAAAAGCGAGGGAGGAAGATAAGAAAATGAAGAAGAAGAAGAAGAAGAAGAAGTCAAAAGAGAGTGTTCCCGAAAAACAGACACTGAAACCGGAGAGCTCCAAAGACCACGAGACACCACACGGAAAAATGAAGTGTGAGTTGACCTGTAATTGAATCCAACTCATTTTTTGAAAATAGATTTAGCATAGACGGTCGAGAGGGGTTTCCGGATGTGTCTTGCATATCTCCGCGGTTGAAATTGAAATTTCACCACTTCAGAGGTGTCGTAAGCAGACTTTGAAAACGGTTTTATAGGTTTTCAAACATTCTCTTTCATCCTGTGGGGTTGGTTTTTGCCGATCATCTTACCTACTTAAAAGGTTCCCTTGTAAGTGAAAATTTCTCAGTAGGCTGATAAATCTGAGACGTCGCTAGCAATTATGATAAAATTTATTCTCTAATGTTTTTATCCGAAATGGCTCATACAGTGCGTTGCAGGTTCTTACGTCCACCCATGTTTAGGGTCATAACTTGAGAGCTGTTAGAGGTATCGGTCTAATTTTTTGAAAATCGGATTCGGGACAACAAATTAAATCTAGTGGACAATTTTTGTAATAAACCCTTGAAAACTACCCGATTCATCTGGAAAAGTCTGAAAATATGCCTTTTGCAACCGTTGCAAGTTCATACGTCCACTCCAAAGATCAGTAGATCACGACCTCCAGCGAAGACGGAGGTATCCAATTTTGATTCGTTCTTCTTGGAAACGGGCTTGGAAAAGAGAAAAATCAAATAAATCAAAAAATTAATATAAATTAATATAAATCATGCATCATATTTCAAAATTAGATCGCCTGCTGTTGTCAGAAGTTCGGAAAAAGATTTGTTATTATCCACTATTATTCATGTCTAGGTTAAGAAATATCGATTTCATATCACCACGTCCCTTTTTGTCTATTTATTCTCTTTTTCATTATTTTTTCTTGTTATTTTTCCACATATTTTTTACGTAATAAATACAATACAATACAATACAAATGGAAGATTTTTAAAAAGTATTTATTGAAAAAAAAAAATTTCAAATAAAGATATTCCTGAACATATCAACAAAAATTATGAAAAATGACAAGTTTCAAAAGTGTACTGATTAGCCAGACTTTCGTCTGTTGATCCCTTTCGCCACGTAGAGGCTCAGTACATGAAAGGGAAAATGGGTTTTCACTGGGGGAAAACACCAACACAAAACCCCTGTCTCCGGGGAGACAGTTTTCCAATTTTCAATAGTTCTTTTTCACTGCTAAAAAGCTATACGATCGCTATTTATTGTCTAGTTCATTTGTTTCTTTTTTCTTTGATTGGTCTTTTGCAAAAGGGGGACGTTCAGTGAAAATGAATTCACCTAGCCATGAACCACCAAACATGGCGACCCTTAGGGTCTTTTATAACTTTTTTCGCATCCGACCGATCGAAAGAAAAAAGCAAATGAAACAATAAACAGCTTACGCAGGGAGCTTCAGGGCAGTCAAAAAGTGCTAGTGAAAATTATCAAACTAATTCAAAAAGTGGGATTTCCCAAAGGAATGTTTTTTTTTTTCAATACGTGGATTTTTTTCAACGTGGAGAGAGGTAGATGGCGTGACCTAATATTGATTGATTTAAAGGTTTATTGCATAACGTGTGAAAAGTTAAAAAGAAAACTCAAAAATTGAAAGTAGATTTACGTAACCCATTAAAAATGAAAAACTAAGGACGAACGAGTAAGAACTAGGTTGAAGGCGCACCATCTGTTGTTTTATTTATTGGGCAATTATCTCGGTTCGTATAAAAGATACTCGAAATTTGTCAAATAATAAAACGTTAGAGGTATGAACAGTGATAATTTTTTCAGATACTTTTTTAGGATGAAAATCATTCATGCTAAGGTTATTTTGGTAGATCATGTTAAACTTTAACACCTTCCCCCAGTTGGATCCGATGCACTTTTGAAAGAAGTTGAGGCAACGTACTTTGTGATCGTCGGTAGGTGTCGAAGCTGGGACCATGATTTCTCTCTTGATGCCTGGATTATCTTTGAGCCATCTCTAACCCGTCCACTTGATGGCTTCAGGTTTCAGCTTCTGGTTGGTACCATTACATGACTCCAAAGAGCTTAAAACGACAGTACTGGTAGAGGGTTGGGATCTTGAGGGCAGGATTTGAGCTGATCCTGTTTTTTTCGTTAGTTTTCGTATGAGAGAATAGTCGATATGACAGTGTGAATGATTTAGTTGCTTTCTGATAGCTTTTGGTCCATCCAGCTGCTCCAACTGCTCTGATTGAAGCTTTTCCAGCATCAGTCGGCAAAAGATCCCATGACATGATACAAACTCAAAGAAAGAGAAACACGTAATGAAAACAACTTTTTATAGTGATTCTAGCTGTACAGAATCAAAATTGGGGACCTCCGTCTTCGCTGGAGGTCGTGATCTACTGATCTTTGGAGTGGACGTATAAACTTGCAACGGTTGCAAAAGGCATATTTTCAGACTTTTCCAGATAAATCGGGTAGTTTTCAAGGGTTCATTACAAAAATTGTCCACTAGATTTAATTTGTTGTCCCGAATCCGATTTTCAAAAAATTAGACCGACACCTCTAACAGCTCTCAAGTTATGACACTAAACATGGATGGACGTAAGAACCTGCAACGCACTGTATGCAAAGTTCCGTGTGATCTGAAATTTTAGTCTTATCAATCTTGATGACCTAAATTTCAAAAGACTGTTTTCTGATCTTTCCCAATGATGCCATTTCCACTTTTAGAATCAGAACTTTCCCATTCAAACACGTGCTTTTGTGTCCTTTCCCAGTTGTATTAATGAACTCAAAAAGTGACCGATCTCTGAGTGTCTCCTCGTTATCAATTACACCACCGACTGGTCATTTATACATTGTGATAGGATGTCCCTTCGGGAGGGACAATGCACTTTGTGGAGTCACAGACAATCAGATCGACCGCCTCTTCGACACTCCGAGTTCTTTTCCTTTACCTCACTTTCCTCAATTTTGTGATTCTCAGCTAAAATGATTTCAACTAAGATTCTCAGACCTTCAGTTTCAATTTTTGGAATTGCAATAACGGTAAGTTCATTTGGTTCAATGTATCAGTCAAACCGCCTATCAACAGGACAGTTTGATTGTCATCATACATCAAATATACAATCTCTCATTCAAACTGTTGATTAGCCAAATGGTACACACTCTTTTATCTTTTTTATACTGTTCTTTCGGGTCGTAAAATTTATATAGATTAACTTGATCAATATATGTTGAAGTTTTGGGTTTAATACCAATTTCTGATATTTTTCAATTCAGGATAAATTTCTTGAAACAAGTTATAAACATTTTAAAAATCCCAAAACCCCCAAAAACTTTTAAATATTTTTCCAGACCATCAAAACTTAAATGAAAGTTCTCAAAAAACTTTTGCTCTATTTTTAGCATTATGTTCTATTTTTAAACCCCAATTTTTCAGATTCCAATTAGAAACCTCCCGAAAAATGACAAATCCACAGGGACCATTTTTTTCAGATTACTTTAGTTGTTCACTTTGTTTCAAATTGTTGTTTTGTAGCTCTTGGCTCCTTGCCCTGCTGTGAATTTTTTTTTTCAACGATTTTAAAGGCGCATTCAAACTCTTGCTAGATCTAATTTTCCTATACTTTCTCAAGTAATTCTTCGAATGTATGGCCATTGACCACTGCAACCCCCTCGTTGACTAATATGTCTTCTCTGCGCCTCTCCTCTGTCCAAAATGTCCATAGAGCGCGTTTGCATTACTTCCATGTCAGTGTCCAAACAATTGACTCTTTAAGGAACACATAATTAGTTCAACTTTCCTTGTTTTCGGAAACAAAATTCATGTTACATCGATGGATATCACATGGTGCATCCACGTCAATAAGACCCTTGTTCTCTCAAATTTATTGTCCAAACAGTCATCAAAATGATCCAAATTCTCCTATTCTTGCTGTTACAGTGCTCAATGTCGTCTCGTGCTCCGCCAAAGGCTCTTCTCCAAGATATGGTGGTCCCACCACGTCAACTGTTTGGACCGGGGCCTTCAAATATGGCTGATTCGATTGCTGAAACTCAATCTAAAAACTTGTTGGGTCATTTGCATCCAGAGTTTGTGCAGGTAACCTCAACAGGAAAATCGAATTAAATGACAACTTTCAGATTATGGGGGATGTTCGTCTTGGTCTACAATATATTTTCAAAACGGAAAATAAGTACACTTTTGCTGTCAGCGGAACTGGTAATTATTGGAGAAAGAAGGTTATATCACTATTCGGAGTTTCAGGTCATTCCGGAATGGAGTGTGCTATGGTTAATCTTCTGGAGCCAGGAGACAAGTTCTTAGTTGTTGAAATCGGACTGTGGGGCCAAAGGGCAGCTGACCTGGCCAACCGAATGGGAATCGAAGTGAAGAAGATTAGTGCTCCACACGGAAAAGCAGTCCCTGTTGAGGATATCCAGAAGGCCATCGCTGAATACAAACCGAATTTGGTATTCGTTTGTCAAGGAGACAGTTCCACTGGCGTTGCTCAGCCATTGGAAACCATCGGAGACGCTTGTAGAGAACATGGTGCATTGTTCCTTGTGGATACTGTAAGTAGTCTAAATTCCCCATCTTCTCAAAATATTTCATTTCTAGGTCGCCTCGCTCGGTGGAACTCCATTCGACGCAGATGCCCTGAAAGTGGATTGCGTCTATTCAGCAACACAGAAAGTTCTCAACGCTCCTCCAGGTCTTGCGCCTATCTCATTCTCCGATCGAGCCATTAATGACACAAGACATAGTTTCTTCTTATGTTTCTTTTCTTTTTAGCGAAAAAATCCGGAATCGAAAACAACGCGTCGCCTCGTTCTACTTCGACGCATTGGAATTGGGCAACTATTGGGGTTGTGATGGAGAATTGAAAAGGTTGGTTGGGAGAGGAAAAGATCATCTACTAGATATACTATTTTTTTGAAAGTGACATCATCTCAAAAACAACGTTTTTTTTTTCAGATATCATCATACTGCTCCAATCTCCACTGTCTATGCTCTTCGTGCTGCACTTTCGGCGATTGCAAAGGAAGGAATTGATGAGTCAGTTCAGAGACATAAGGATAATGCTCAAGTATTGTATGCTGCGTTGAAGAATCACGGCTTGGAGCCATTTGTGGAGGATGAGAAGTTGAGATTGCCATGTTTGACAACAGTCAAGGTTCCAGAAAGAATTGACTGGAAGGATGTTGCTGGAAAAATGCTTATTAATGGAGTTGAGGTAATTTTTAAAAAAATCTTGTCATGGATGAATTGCGGAACTGTATTTTGTTTTTTATGAAGTTCTAACTATCGTAGGGTTCTTTCAGATCGCTGGTGGTCTGGGTGCCACAGTTGGTAAAATCTGGAGAATCGGAACATTTGGAATCAATTCCAACAAGACCAAGATCGAAAATGTCGTTGAGTTGCTCTCGAAGTCTATCAATGAAACAAGGTCTAAACTTTAAATTCTTTAAATCTCTTTTTCTCAAATCCTTTAATTTTCAGATAGTAAAACCGAATCGTCCTGTTATGAGCCCTCTTTCTATTAATTTATACTTTGATGTGTATAGAATGTACTGTTTTATAAATCTTTATTATTTTTAGTAATTTTAAAATTTTTGTGAAACAAAACAAAACTATATACATGGGAGAAAGATTGAAACGAGGAAGGTGGAACAGCCGATGACCGGGGGAAATCAATTACTGAAAGACCATCAAGAGAAGAAGAAAAAACAGAACTACAGAGTCTAGAAGAGAAAAAAAAGTAAAGCAGATGAAAGAGGAGCTAACAAAAGAAAAAGTGAATGGCGGAATGAAGTGAAAAATGTTGAAAAAGGAGTCACTACTCGTATTGGGTTTTGCGGGTTGGACCGGAGAGAAAAACAAAGAAACGGTCATCCCCCAATCTATATCTCAAATGTCCCGTTTCTTTTGAAATGATTTGAAAATAGAGATTTCCGAAGAAGAGGAATATTACGCCTTCTCAGATGTCTTCAATTGAAGTTCAGAATCCGTTTGTGGAATGGGTTTCAGAGTGGTTTTTGGTGGAGAAGACAACAGTAGCCTTTCAATATTCAGAGCTGGAAGCTCACTGACCATTGTGCAAATGATGGCGAAGACGTAAGTGATGAGAAGTTGAACGAAGCAATGGATGAAGAGAGGAATTTGAGTATTGAAGTAGATTGGGAATGGAACCAGCATGTAGGTCAAAACAACAGGGATCATATGGAAGAGGTAGGCCTGAAATTTGAAATTTGTTGTTTGGTTTTGAATTTTCATTCTAGTCATTGAAAAAAATTTTGATGTTGCAACCCCTGATAGCTACCGTAAAACCTGTATTAGAAGGGCCCCCTAACTTTTAACTTGGGTTAATTTATTTCGGTTTCGGTAAAATATATCAAACAGTTTTCAACTTATAAATTCTTTACCAGAATATCGTCAATATTTTATTAGTTGACACATCTTTGATATCTTTTACAGGAATCGAGAAAACTGAGCTCAAACTTAACTGTGTTGGAGCCGTTCTATTACAGGGTTTACGGTAACTCCAAAATCCCATGTACAAATTCTGATAATATCTTGCAAAAATTGCAAAATATACTATTGGCTAAGTATAATTTTACTAGACCAATAGTTGTTCAGAAAATCAAGGTTACATTTTTTTTATTCGTCAAACATTCAGAACCGACGAACTATCTGAAAACTTTACTCTTCCAATTCGGAAGTTTCAAGTTCTTGTTGTTTCATCTTTCAAAAAATGTAGACAGCATTTTAAATATCTTTGTACACAAGGAAATGATTTCTTATCTTTAACAACAAGACACACTTCTTCTGTCTTCATCTTTCATCAACTAAAGTTATGAAAACTCACCGAGAAACTCAAGTTGGCCAATGGCAGGAAGAAATTGGAAGAGAGGAAGACGTTGACTGGACCCCCAATTCCAGTATGACAGATATAGATCAAGAAAGCGACACCAATTGAGAAAATGTTACGATGAAGTGCTCCGTAAAGCAAGTGATAGGCTCTCCAGGCAATCGAATCCCATCCTTGAAGGGCTGGATACAGACCGTAGAGGCCGAAGAAGATTCCAATCAAAGCCACGGACCACATGGTGACTGAAAATTTCAAGTTTCGAAAGATATTTCAAAAATTCACAACTCACTAATATATCTGTTGCTTTGTTGTGGCTTGACTGGAATTCTTTGGTATCTAGCCAATTGGTATCCGAGAAGAATTCCAATGAGGTATGGACCAATTCTGTATTGTGGCTTGATGTAAAGTTCCAAGTGATGTTGAATGAAGTTTGGATTGAAAATTTCTGGTTGTTTCCAGAGAAATTGGGTTGGTGGGAAGTTATTACGAACAATTGATTCCACGTTCAAACCAGCTGAGAACATGATAACCACAAAGCAAAGAATCTGAAAATTAGAAACGAGGTGAGGACCATCACTTCTGAAAACTCACGAATCCAAGTTTTGGAGCTTTTCTCAATGAGAGAAGGAAGATTGGAGACAGTAAGTAGTAAATGAACTCGGTTCCAATGTACCAAGTCCATGGCATACACTGATTATCCAAAATACTGTTAACAAACAAAACATTTTGCCACCAGTACTTTGGACATTGAATGGCTGGATCAGTTGGAGGCCACATTGGATGGAAGTGGGTCACAGAAATACGGAGGGTAACTGCTAGAAGAGTGTAGAGATAGGCAGGGTAAAGACGGACAACTCTGTGACGATAGAATCGGAGCCAGTATCCCCATGAAGTCCATGTTGGCTCTTCTTCTGCAAAAAATGAAATTGCACTTTCAAATGATGTCAGACTAGTAAACACTTAATTCTTTAAAAGTCACAAAAATTACCTGAAGTGTTTTTCAGCCATTTTCTGAACCAACTGTATGAAAGGACAGTTCCTCCAAGAGTAAGGAAAACATCAACAGAAAGTGTAAAATTGGTAATCCATTGATTCAAGAAATTATCGACCATTGACGATTTGAAATCTTCAACATTCTCCATATAAGCTTGAACGAAAATGAATGAATGTCCGATCAGCGTCCAGACCATTGAACCGAATCGAAGTCCCAGAAGACAAGTGATACAGCTCTGTGGATCTTTTGGAAGAGCAACTAGCTTTTTGAAATTTGTCTTTGCAGAAAAAGCAAGAAGGATTCTGGCGGACCAGGTTTTCGCGTCATCTCCTCTCATGTTATGGAAGATTGTTGCCATCACAACGAGCATAACCAATCCCATATTAAATCCAAAATCAGCAATTGGGACTGGAAGTTCGAACCACTGTTTCTCGTGTCTCGATCGTGTACAAGCGGTGAAAGTAATGGGTTCAGTGGCTTCTGGATGTGTTATTCTTCTCCATTCTTCCAGAAGTTTTTGATTTTCATCAGCACATGGAGATGGGATACACACTGAGAATGCTGGAACTCGCTTATCTTTATCATCATCATGAGTATAGCAATAATGCATCGGATGCTCAGATTTTGAGTAGACAGTTTCTCCAGCAGATAAAAGACATTCATAACCTGAAATTGTTGGTTATGATTATTTGTTCAAAAAAAAGAAAAGGACATACCTTTGTAGACCCAACGATCTTGATCTCTCGAGAGGAACAAATCGTTTGGACCGGTTGCAAATGATTCAAAGTAGCAGATTTTTTGGTCGGTCAGAGTTTCGATATCGTTCAAATAGTCGTACACCTGAAAAAAAATTTCTAAGAATTAATTTTTTTTACTTCTAATAAGGGAACGTTTATAGAAGATCCTTTGAGAATTCGCTGAAATTTTCAGCGTTGAAAAAATTGTTTTGAAAATATTTCAGATGAGAGGAAAATGTTCGAAAATGGGTTTCGCGTTTGAGAACATCCTAGAAAACGAGGTTCAAAGCTCAAAAAATGCACGTTTTTTGTCAAAACTTATTACTGAGAACACTCACAGAGCCCATGATTTAATTCATATTGAGAACGGGAGCTAGATATTTCTGAAATAATTTTTAGATTAGTCGAAAATACCTTTGTACAAATTTTCAGCAAATTCTCAAAGGACCTGTAAAAATTGCCTTTGTAAGATACCACATCCACATTTGGGTCGGGCCCACATGTCCAAACAAGGACCAATTTTGGTCAAAAAATTAAAACTAACCAAAATTGGACGCCGTTGGGACAGTACCAAATTTTTTGGTTTTGACAGAGGATGTGTGTTGAAAAAGGTATTACGGTTAGTTTCCAAAAACTTCTGGTTTCTGATCTCTAATCCGAATCATCTTTTTATACAGAAACTATTTTTAAAAACTCACCAATGCTAAACTCTGTTTGCATTTGGGACTAAGATCAAGAGTCTGTGATCTATTGATAAATTGTAAAATGAACGGCTCATCGTACTCCTCTAGACCGGCCGAGACAAGAACCGGTGATAAGAGCAAGAGGTATATCCCAAGATGCATCTGTAAAAAAGGTCGTAAATTATTAGGATGAGGAAAGTTTTTGGAAATGTACGTGGTGGATCTTCAAGAGAAAG